TCGTTGGTTTAGCTTAACTATAGGTTTATAAACCCGTCCTTAAGAATGAATCATAACAGTAGTATATGTTGGGTGAAGTGTCATGGGAAATTTGAGTAAATTAAAATAGGAAGATGAGCCGAATAGGTATTAAGCCAGTCCATATTGTGGTGCCCTCGTATTGTCACCATAGGGATCTCAACACCATTCAGCTTGAAACTAACTAGCTAGACTGTATTTTGTCTCACTCCCTATACATTCGTTAGAAAGGGACGGGTGTATTTCAGGGACATTACGAATGGATGACTGCAGGCGCTTTTATTGTGGGGGTGTCAGTTATAAGTAATTAGGTGCAAGTTTTTTTTTAAATGTGCATTCTGATGCTGCTCATATATCGACGTTAATTAATTAATGGATTACGTGGTTTGTTTACATCGCCGTATGAATTCATTACAAGCCACTGGTTTAGTGTTAATTTAATTATTAAAATGTGTAAGTTTTATTTGTTCATGTAAGTTTCTGTACCTCATGTGTTATAATTGGTAAATATAGATTTTTCTCTCTATCTAACTTTTTAAAAATCTTTAGTTAATTTGTTTGGATTTGAGTGTTTGTTCGTAATTAGATTTGGAAGGCTGAGCGGATTTTAATGAAGTGTAGTTTTATTTCTTTAGTTATTGGTCAGTTGTTTAATATCCATAGCACAAGCCCTGCTTAGCTAAGATCAAGATGGTGTTCATTATCCTAAGTCATTATTGTGAATATTTATCTTGTAATGAGACTGATACGGTCAGTGCCAACTCAAAAACACAGTGTTCGTTTGTGCAGTGATTTAGGCTGGACAATAAATGATAAAATTCCTTTATCTAGGACACCGGTAATAAGTAGGTGCTCATTGTGAAGTATAATTGTCCGCCATTAAAAATATCTCCGCCCATAAAACAATTTTTCTATAACAACTCACCGTTATCTACCATTTCAGACGGTTTCAAATGCATGACAAACGGACGGACGGTAAGTATTGATGTTATTACGGTTGTAAATATAAATTGCTTTGTTTTTATAATAATTTGGACCTTTGTTCTTTTTTGTGGTTGGTTTATAAAATAATTTTGTTACACAAAGAATATAATGGAGGCTGTATTTGGTTGGCATACGACGAAAGTGATTTTTGTAACGTTTTGTAATGTTTATAATGTTGAATTATGTTTTATGACCACTATTATAACGGTGGTAGTCTAAGGTATTATCTACTTTTAATGACTAAAGAAAATATAGAAATAAAAGATCGTTACTTGTATTACATTACAAACTGGTCACAACATCATCTGCTTCTTCCTTATCCCATTTATATGTGGTCGGCGTAATATGTTTTTCTCTTCCATACATCCCTGTTCGCAGTCGTCTCGTTATATACTCCCTTTCTTATCATATCATCTTTCACACAGTCCTTCCATCTCTTCTTCGGCCCTCCTCTGCTCTCTCTTTGTTATACCTAAGGCTAACTGGTCACAGATACAATATTATAAAAAACTCTCATTACATTATAATTACTCAATGATAAGTATCACTCTCTCTGTAGTGTTGAAGAAAGAAAGCAATATAGCAACCCATGTTGTCTAATATATATTATTTATTCCTCAAAAATAAAACAAAACACTTCAAATATTCTACCAATTGAATTCAAATTGTCCTTTATCGCCACAAAATCCTCCCAAATTCTATGTGGAAAATCTCCAATTTGGCAACACTGTTGTCAGGCTACTAAGAGGACAAACACAAATACACGCAGGAGAGGAAAAATAAATAACAGTATATTATACATTTAAGTATAATAAGTAGCTTCGTCAACTTAATAATAGTAGGCTAAATCCTTCTCCTATAAGGAGAGTCCCATGCTTAGCTTGTGTTAAGAAAGTGTAGAAATAGGTACTAGGTTATAGTTTTTAAGGTGTTACAATAATACATGATTATACTTACTAATATTATAAGTCATATTGACTTAACATATATATATCTATATATAAATATATACATTGACAAAACAGTGTCTGTCTGTCTTTCTATTACCTTTTCACTACTGAACTACTGATGATATTAAATGAAATTTGAAAATTGTAGCACGATTTTGATTATTTTTTGAGATAAAATACAGATGTCCGCCAAATATTTTATCTCAAAAAATAATCAAGAACCAAACATAATATTGATTTATATCTTTTATTATAAATTTCGAAATCGATTCAAATGGAAAATTAATACTAATGTAATAACTTACTTAGTACCTACTTAAATTCTACAGCAGTTTACTATCGTTACCGATAGATGGCGTTACTTGTAAGTATCAAATGTTTACTGAGAATAATTGGAGGGTGGTCTTTACAAGAAGTTTATAGAAACATATGACATGTCTGCTTTTTTTATGTTGATCTTGATTTGTATATATTGTGGTACTATTATTATAAATAATAACTTAGTTTGTTAATTAAAGAAAATACGTGAGTTGTAAACAGAACTTATAAAATATTACATTTTTATGTGATGTGTGATGTGTTTGTGTAGATACTTAAATGTTCTAAAATCGATCGGACTGTAACTCATTGCGTAAAATTTGCGTAGACAGATAGACGGTACCTAGATATTATTTGTCTATAAATCTAGGTGTCAAGATTGGTATGCGATTATTTATATATATAAATTTATACATCATTAAAGTGTGATTCTGTCACAAAAACATGCTGACGTGTATTATATGAATAGAGTTATTTATTACGATTACAATGTCAATTTATAAATACATAAATATTTAAATACATTTTTTGTACATAGAAAACACTCAGACCAATACAAACTCTCATACTCATGAATACAAATATTTGCATCGTGCGAGGAATCGAACCCGCGGCCGTCACATATAACTAAGTATAATTAAATTTAATTATTATTAAATAACGACAATTGTTACTTCCAAGTTCTAAACCACTAGACAAGTAGGCAAGTGTCCCCAACATAATTAAAACATTTTATAGATATAGATACCTGAAGTAATAAATCGTAAAGTATTTTATACTTAGATAATATTAATTATACAGATAATAAATTCGCAATATTTCCAAAACAAAATATTTATACTTACTTATCCAATTTCATAGAATTTCATTAAAACGTGAGATCAAATAACATTATTACGTAATAGAGATATTAGTCTATAAAATATAATTCTTAGAATTACAGAATTTATTTAGAAATCCATAATCTAAGTACTTATATAATATAAACATAATCAGTAATAGATGTGCTCACTCTACAAAATTAATTTATTAAAATAATTTGTGATAGAATTCCCGAAAACGTTTCGATGTTAAAATAATTATTTGAAGTAAATAGATTCTATATTTGATAATGGTAATACCTAGGATCTTATTATAAAGTATTATACAATTTTAGTAAGTAAGTATCTACAATAAGTAAGTAAAATGTATTTTATACTTAATTGCTACTTACTTATTCTCAACTAAATATAAAATGTTTATAAGTAGTATATATAGTATATATTTATACACAAATGAATAAATATATACATATTTCAAACTATATGATATATATAGTTTGAAAGAGGTAGAGAGAGTTTATAGATCACTTTATATATTTAATATAAATATGTTGTGTTTATATATACATTTATAAACTATAATACATATATAATTAATTATACATATATAAATATAACTACATAATCCTTTCTCGTTCTTACACACATACATACAAATACACATACAATTATTTATTTAATCATTGTAACAGGCATAATTCAGATACATATAGTTTTGGAGGAATAATACTATATTATAAATATCTATTATAATTAATTTATTTTAAAAATTTGGATATAGTGTAATCATTTGTATATAGGTATTAAAAATAATAAGCTTTTGCATCTGGATATAAGGCAATTAGTAGATATCTGTCATATATATCTAGTTATACTTAAAATAAAATATACCTATAGCAACACATATATTGTTTTCGATTAGCAGTTTTTCAAATTCAAAACATACGATAGAAACTCTATCTGTCTTATTACCCAAAGATAAACCTGGTTTAGCACTAGTAATAAACTATTGACCAAAGTATTCCTTATTACAAAACGAAGTTTATCTCTAAACCGCGATTCGTCTATGTTCTAAAGTTAGATGCGATACCCGTAGTTTAACAGTGCTCTAAAATCAAACGACAAACTCTATTTTTAAAATTTTTATTGTTAGTGGTTGGATTGTGAAAAATATCCTAACTAAATTAAAAATATATTAACTATAACATTTAAAGTAAATTTTACAAGAATAAAAATATATAAAAAAAGTTAATTGTTATTTTGTTCACTCTTTTGACTTTAAAATATTTGCCGACGTTTTTGTTGACATGTTCTCTATTATATCTCCTTTGTTATACAATAGACTTACCTACTGCCTGAATCTAAATAATGATATAAAAAATATCGCTGTCATAACTTCATAAATAAAGCAAATTGATGCATCTTTAAGGCATTAAACTTGGAAATATAATATTATACCTACACTAAAACCAGGCATAAGATGCTGAAGTTTATCAATGTAATAAAGAAATATCGATAATAAAAATCATAATGCTGTGGCTATATTTTCAATCTCACCGGCCAGTGCATTCTAAATGCAATGTTTATATTGTACAATAACAACATGCTTAAGAAATTCTCAGGTCCAAGTGAAATATAAAGCAGTTACATCATCGAGTCAGTAGACTTCAACATGCCTCCAAACAGCTGGACGACTGGTCCGCGCAACGACACCGGCTGCTTTCTTAAGACAAGGACAGATATATGTAAGGTTGTAGAGGACGAGAGAGACAGCATTAAAAGTTTAGGAGGGACGCAGGCTTTGCGCGCTCGACCCCCATTGGGTGCTCGCACACCGCCCTAAAACCGCGCCCCCCTCGCTTCAATACCCACGCGAACACTGAACTAACCCATCAGTCTATCGCTCGACTTCGACGCGACATAATCGCTTTCTCGTCTGTGCTCATTCACCGCATTGTGCCATACACCATAGAGCTAATGCTCTAACAGAACTTTTAACACGTAGCCATTTTAAAAGTTTAATCATCATGTCGACTTTAAGTCATCATCCGTACGCATTCTCCATGCATCCTGGCATGTTACCTGAGTATCCAAGTGCGCCGCAGCCGCTCCCGGCATCTTCTCCGCAGTCAGAGGGTCACATCAAGAGGCCAATGAACGCCTTCATGGTCTGGTCCAGACTTCAGAGACGTCAAATTGCAAAGGATAACCCGAAGATGCACAATTCAGAAATCTCGAAGAGGCTCGGAGCGGAATGGAAGTTGTTAACGGAAATGCAGAAACGACCGTTCATTGATGAAGCTAAGAGACTGAGAGCATTACACATGAAGGAACATCCGGATTATAAGTACAGGCCCCGCAGGAAGCCCAAGCCCCCGACGCCAGGCGGTGCTCCAGGAGCCGGTGCGTTCCCGAGTTTCCCGCTCCCTTACTTTGCTGGTCCCGCGCCCACAGTTGGACACTTGGACGCTCTATCATATCCTGCAGTGCCACCGTATTTCCCACATCAATTAGACCATCTACAGTTCTCTAAACTGATGGCGCCGACGGCAGAAAAATTGCCGACGGTATCGTCGTCCGCCGCCGCTGTCGTGTCGTCATTCTATTCTTCACTGTACACATCACCGGCGCCTCCAAAGCCGTTCTCGTCACCATTATTTCCACAATATGGAGTAGCACCTTCATCACCAGTATCACCAGTGACGCCAACGCAGCACAGTCCTCATGACGACCAACTAAGGCGGCCGGTGTCTGTTATATATTGAAGACCGACATGCCTTCCTTGAAAGATCCTAATCTTTTAAGGTTCGGCAGATGCAGCAGACGCAGCTATAGTTATAAGTGTTACAGACTGTGAAACTATAAAATTGTATGGACATTATTTATTGACATTAGAGTTATAGTTGAAGATCATTGGAGTGCGGCTCATATCATGTGCTTGTAAATATTGAGAAGTCTAGGCCATGTAGTGTGGCGATTGAGTTTAAACTGTGATTTATGTTTTCGATGCATCATTTAATATTTAAGGTAAAGTAGCGCCGGTTCGTTAGTTATGTGAAGTGAGATTGGTACCAAAAAGAGATTATTTTCTATAGGTGTCTCTAACATTAGCTAAATAGTTGTGGATTGTATTAATGCGAATCCCAATATCGTTTTTCTTGTCATATCTTTCGTCTGTTTGTTGAGTTTGATTGTTTTGTCGAACCACGGAGCCGTTTGTGGTTCTCTCTCTTTAATTCCTATTGATATTATCTGTATTTTATTTATTGACTTCCGTGTATTTGTAATTACCTGTACATTAGTTGTCTACATTGTAAGTTATTAGTGCATTCCAAATGTATATATTAGTGTTTAATTTAAAATCGATGTCAGTACCAACGATGTATTATAGTATTTGAGAACAAAGTTTGTTAATGCCATAAAAATAAACACTAAATTGTTTTTATTTTAATGTTTTGTTTTCTTTAAGGTTGTCCCATTTCTCTTTTTATTTTGCAGCGGTTTCTTTTTTATAACAACATTATTTTTAAACATTTGAGGTAGTTAAGGATTAGTTATCTGTATTTTACTGTATTTTGAGTTTATTAGTTTTTAATTTATGTTTTCCGCTATGGTCGAATATTTAATTATGTTCGTACTGGTTTATATTATGTAGATATTCCTTTTTAACCTCATATACAACTTCTTATACACCGAATATATAATATTCATCTTGGTCATTGGACATCTGCTCAAGAGTGAAAAAGTAATATTTATAATTACTGTAATTTTTTTTTATCTGTATATATATACGTACATACGTACATTATTGCATATATCATATATTGGTTTGGAATAGAGATTTCCACCAAGTTTTATGGAGATTGAGAAAGTAGGTAACTTAAATTTGAATAAAGCCAGTAAGTAAGTAAAGTATTTCAGATATTTCTTTGATTTAAAATTACCAGCTACTGCTCTATTATTTGTGCAGTCTGTGTGTATCTATCATTTATAACATTAGTAGTATAATATACAAACTGATTATTCTTTCGTAATTTACTTCGAACAAATTAAACTTTTTTATTATATAAATAGGTATATCATGATATTCGGTTCCCATAATATACACCCCTCACCGAATCGACGACGTATTGAAGAAGCGAGAATAATTTATTTTGTTAATTTAAAAAAATTCTTCCCATTCTAAATTAGAATACTATTTGTCTAAATTAATACTACTATTTTATAATAATGTTACTAAATTTAGTTTACATTTTTAACGAAATCATATTTATTGGTCCCTTTTTTTGTGTCCTTTGAAATTCGATATTCAAATTTAGAACACTGGAAAGCGGTTTTTTCTTCTTTTATACTATTTTTTTTTTTATTTATTTAGAACTAACAAACAGTAATACAATATTAAATATACATACAATATGAGTGACTATTGAATAGTACTTTAGCAAGATATAGCTTCCATATTCAGAATATACCATAGACGGTATCTGTAGTCTAGCGGTTTAGTACCCGCATTAGTATGGATAGTCGCAGGTTCGATTCCTTGCAATGTTCAAACATTTATGTTTATGACTATGATTGTTTGTATTGGTCTGGGTGTTTTTAATGTATAATCTTACCTTAACTAAATTATAAACGCTAAAATAATTATGGATGGATGTTTTTTACTCATTTAAGTAAAAACTACTGAACAGTATTTGATGAAATTTTACAGTAATATAGCTTATCAGAATAACATATAGGCTATAAATTTCACGCGGATAAAATCGCGAGCACAGCTAGTATCTACATATTTACAAAAATAAAAAAGTATTTCTATCAGTTGTCTATTACTCATAATACACTCTGCTTAGCTTGGAATTAAATGTCAATGTGTGAGTTTCCTTGGGTTATTATTATTATTAAATATTTCATAGTCGATGAAAGTAATAAGTGATATTACTATCGATTTCGTTTCATCTTAATTACTATAATTAACAGTATAAAATTGGATTGGATTGATATTGAGATAAAATTCTAGAAGTAGAGCTGCTGGCTAGATTTTTTTTTTTTTTTTTATATAACACAGGGGACAAACGAGCATGCGGCTTACCTGATGGTAAGTGATTACCGCCGCCCATGAGCACCGGCAACACCAGGGGAATTGCAAGTACGTTGTCGGCCTTTTAAAAAGGAATAAGCTCTTTTCTTGAAGGTTCCAATATCGTATCAGTTCGGAAACACCATTGCTGGAAGGTGATTCCACAATGTGGTTGTGCGAGGCAAAAAGTTTCTAAAAAACCGCACTGTAGAAGACCGCCATTCATCCAGATGATCAGGATGGTATTTCAGTTTCTGGCGGGTGGTACGGTGGTGAAAGTCAGCAGCTGGTATTAATCTTATTAATGGTTTGTCCAGGTTAGTGTTATTGACGTCACAAAAATATCTTTTAATATTCTTGTAGGTACATTTATGAGAGTGTAAACGTGTATATATGTAACAGAGCAACGCGCAAGTTTCTAGCTCTTTCTTCATTTGACTTTTCGACAGTTATCCGAAGAAGCGGTGTCTATCATTCAGATAAAGGTCTTATCATATGAAGATACCTATATGTAAAATGATTGAAAAAAATAAACAATGACCATTCAAAATTGCATATATATATATATATATATAAACTTATTTGAATAAATAATTTTCTATTCTCTTCTATTATTTATACGATCAGAATTGTAATACAAAATTGAATGTTGCTTTTTCATAGGATACACCGCTTTATGACCGGTGGTCGCGGGTTCGATTCCTCGCACGGCACAAACATTTGTATTCATGAGTATAATTGTTTGTATCGGCCTGGGTGTTTTCTATGTATAATATGTATGTATTTACAAAAAAAAGCTATGTATATGTATCACTTATCTAGTACCCATAACACAAGCTTTAGCTACCTTAACTTGGGTCTAGATGGCGCTGTGTGGATTGTCCTCAGATTATTATTATTATATATCTACTTATTTATTTATATATTTCTTTTTTAAACCTATTGTTTATTGCTTTCTAAGTGTATTTTAATTTTTTATTTATACACTAGTAGTAGATACAGAATGATGATCCCTAAATAATGGGATGAAGGTAAAAACTATTTTTAATGGATTATGATGGAATACTGACTCGCCTGCGCTAACAGGTTGCCCTGGCGGGTTAGATGGAGTGGAGGTTGATAAGATGAGAATGAGAACAGGTCAGATATTAATGTTCCAGGAGGACCACATAGATGTCAACATGACATGGTAAGGAATTATTAATATTGATATACAGGTACTTTTATTAAATCAGTAAGTATATATTGAAACAGATATTTTTTTAGAAATATAAATGGAATTATTTTAATATTGAAACTAGATGGCGTTACTGGTGTTTTATTTGGGCATACAACTCCAATACCTAACAAATATATTTCTATAGTCCTCCATTCCGTTTTGAGGGATCAAAATTATAAAGATTTTTTATAAGGTCTCGATGGTCTAGTGGTGTAGCACACGGATTTATTTTCCGTGTACCGTTAGAAGAATCAAACCCGCGACCATTGGAAGTAAAGCGGTGTGTCAAACCGCGAGACAAACGAGCCGTCGATTCATTTGATTCAAATGTAAACACAATTATGAATAAATTGTGCTTACATTGAATATAACATGTGAAGTTACAATTTAGTTAAAAATAAAAGTCCATAGTTGCGTTTCAGAGTTGCGAGTCCATTGAGAATGAAACTCAAGCTATTATGTCAACCCTACCTCTGATTGTCATGAGAAAACAAGGTTTTTAATTTAATAATTACGAGCACAGCCCTCTTAGGGCGTTTTTCAATTTCATTGTTTTATTTCATTCCGGGTCTTTAGGTGAGGCCATAGAAACTGCGTACTGTGGTGGGGTTTGTTGGTATCTAATGGGGACACTAGTAGCCCTAATGTAAACCCCTAAACCCTAAACAATCATGCCATGGCTTATGTAATAAATAATACCACTGGCCAATGAAGTTATCGACCTCCACATAGTTACTTTTAAACTTTCGTGTTTAATATACATTATTAAATTATTAACCGGGTCTTAACTTAGTAACTATAGTTCCTCCCGGAAACTGGTTTATTCCTAATAATAAGTGTAGGTGGGTACATAATTATATTATTATTCATACATATATATACAATTTAACTAAACCAAGGAACTAAATAATTTCCACTAGGAAATGAACTAGAAAATTGATAAGAAATTTTAAAGTCTTCATACAAACTGACACGTGATCAATTTAGTATCAAAAGTTCAAAATTGGTGGTGATCGACCGCGCGGAGGTCGATCTGACTTGGTTCATTGCAATTTTAAATGTAAGTATATGCTATTATTATTATAAACGCGAAAGTTTGCGTGTATAGATGGATGTTTGTTACTCTTTCATGCAAAAACTACTGAAGGGATTTTTACGAAATTTTACATCAGATTAACATATAAGCTATAAATTTCATGGAGGTGAAACTGCGGGTACAACCAGTATGACTATAAATATACAGACGGATATATTCCAAATTATATTATGAGTATGAAGGTAAAGTTTATTTAGAATTCTCTTGAGCGTAGAAAAACGCTAATTTTATGGCCACAAATTAAAGGATTTCAACAACTTTTGAATTAATCATTAGTTCGGTAGGTCATTGTTTGGAGTTACCATCTATAAAGGATCTCGGTGGGATTGTAGAATTTTATATTGTAGATTTATCTGTTGGAAAGTAAATTAATTTGTCAATTCAATTTGACAACCTCAGTGGTTTAGTTGTTTAGCACACTGCTTTATTTTCGATGGTTGTGGGTTAGATTCCTTGGGCGACGCAAACTTTTATATTCATGAACTAGCTGTACTCGCACCTCCGTTCGCGTGGAATTTTTTAACTATATTATTATTAACAGCTATTTCAGAGATTAACCAATAACAAACAGACAGATAGACAAAAATTGTAAAAATGTTATTTTGGTCTATGTACCATTTATATTCATATGCATGGAGTAAAAAACGGTTATTTCAATATTACAAACAGACACTACAATTTTATTTATATGTATTTACCCATCGTCTAGCGGTAGCACACCACTTTACTTTGAATGGTAGCGGGTTAGATTCCTCGTGAAATGCAAACTTTTATATTCACGAATAATTTTTGTATCGGTCTAGGTATGTTCCCACAAGTGTGTTTTTTTTACAAAATCTAATGTAGATTTTTGTGCATTATTATATAATTGGGCAGTTAGCCACAATGTATTCTAGAAACGTATTCAAATTCGAAAATAGAACGAATACGTATTAAGATCGAGTGTTGCCAGCACACTGCAGCATTTTCTCCCGAGTCGAGTGTGTCCTATTTTTCCCATTTCCAATTCTCGCATTGTCGAGAAAATATATTTTGTATGGAGCCGGCATCACAATGAGA